GGTTTGATCATTATCGTCATCAGTATTATCATCATCATCAGCATCATCATCACTACCAGCATCGTTTGATCATAGTTGTCGTCAGTATTTGATCATTGTCGTCATTATCATCTGATTATCATTATCAACTGTCGTATTTGTCGTTGTCATAATCATTATTTAATAATTTTAAACCTCCATCAATTTAATTTCTGTACCGAAAGAGATGTATGACATTATTTTCTGTCATAGAAAACAATTATTTAGAAGCCATTGAGCTATGAAATAGTTTTTGTTTCCATATCCGGTATCGATTGATTGATTTAGTTAATTTATTTTTATTTATTTATTTTTTCGTAATATTAAATTTGGAAATCGGGATCGTTGGACTACTGTTAATACGGATTACTTAAAAGACAGTTTTAACGAAGTTCTTACATGCAAAGTTGTATATATACCTATTGATAATAATGTAGGCCTATACTACAACAAATACATCAATAAAAAAGGCTTTAATAATAGAGATGAAGCATTGCATTGCACGTTTTCCTTAGGGTCTACTGAAAACAAAAGTGAAAGTTGTGCATTTTATGTTGCTGCAGACCTTTTCCAATATGTTGTTAGTAAACAACATTTCAAAACCATGCCTTCTAATATGTACCATAATGCCAATGACATCATAGTAACGTGATAAGGTATTGATTGGGGGTGAAGAAACCTTCAGTGACCATGGACGACGATAATGGAAACAATAAAACCAAGTTTTACATTAAGTATGAGTTTATTATTATTATTATTATTATTATTTTGCAGTTTATTTCATTTTAATAAGGATTTTTTTATTCTTGCAATTATGACAGTAGGCCTATTATTTTGTTTACTTAAGGAACAAGGACTGTCAATCAATCTTGTTTGGTTTTATAATTATTGAATAAGATCGGTAGAGAGAAAAATTTCGCAGAGCGTAATTTTAACCATTACTTCCTTTCTCTTGGAGGAGAGGGATATAGGAATAATAAACGAATGACGTGAAAGTATTATTTGGTGACGTCAGGAAATAGAATCGGCTCATCATAAGCCCCGCCCCTTGGATATTGTTGCTAAGGTCCCACAAAAAGATTGCTTAAACCATGGAGGTATAAAAATAGCTCCATGCTTAAACCAAGGATTAACTGTTTCCAGGATAGGAAGCTGGCTAGTTTAAGCCGTCTAACTGGAATTAGCCTTATGTGTGTGGTATTGTTATGCTAATGAGCCAGATGAGCACAATCTGCGGCCCGCACTGCCTTTCGGCTTGGCGTACAGCTAGGCCTAGCCGAGAATTACGGTACTTTGGTTCATAAGAGTGAAATGGCAGTCTTGTTTCAAATTTTATGGTTTGCGGTTCTAGCGAGGGCCGGGCCGGCCTCGCCCCTCCATCCCCCAACTTTTTTTTTTATTGGAAGGTAGAAAAACAAAGAAAATTAAAAAAAATAAATAAAAAAGGGATTGCTCAAAATACCTCAGTGGTTATTTTCGGGTGTCTTGAACACAAAAAGTTCGCGGGGCATGCCCCCGGAACCCCTGGATAATGTTATCTCGATCGGCCTACTTCTGACCCGCTTTTGGATCCGCCCTGAGTGTGGTTTAAATATAAAATTACATAGAGACTAGCCTAGGCATCCTGCTTTAATTTTAACTAGGGTATATGACCACAAAAGATGCTAGTCCTATTTTTTTTAATGTGAATTTTAAAGTCTATTATTGCTATTTAAACCAGAAATCGTTTACAGGGCTACGGCCTGGGCTAGGCCTATCTATAGATAAAGATATAGGCCAAGGCTAAGATACGATGTATAGAACATATTTTGTATTGTACGTTTTTAGTCAATTCGAGTCATTGACTAATAAATTTCATACTGATATAAGAAATATTGCTTGTCAAAAAAGACAAAAACAAACAAAACAAAAAATAAAATTATAAGTACCAGTAAAATTTTGTTATGCAATGATGTTTTCTCTAGTATGTTACTAGTGTTTAATGTATAGTATAACTTATGTGATTATGTTTAATTTATAAATTATGTGATTATGGAAATAAAAGGCTTGGCAAAAGAAAAAAAAAGAATATGCGTTTTTCACTTAAAAAAAATAAAAGACTGTGGGAATGGCAAACAACATGTTTTATTTATGTCATTTCCCAAGGGAAGCCTAGTAGGCCAGGTATGAAATACAATAAATGATCCTAATTTTAAGTTTGACAAACTATCGCGGACAAAACGGTTAGCTGCCGAAACGGATAACATTCATAAATACAGTAGGCCTACTACCTATTAATATAGCCAACATGAAGTTTCGTGTTAGGCTCAAGCTAGCTCCCACCAATCAACACCGCGGATTTCACGTAAAATTGTCAAAACAATATCCACGGCTTTTATTTACCCTGCATTAATTTAAGTATAAAGGAGTCACGGTTGGTTTGGCCGTAACTGTTATGTTAGTGATTGGAGCTTGATGTTTAGAAACGGAAGTGCGAGTCTGCTACCAGGTCAAGTCGCTAGATTTCACAGCGGCCGCTGTAGATTTTAAGTCCCTCCTTACCATCTATTTCACAGCATAAAATATTGTTGTCTTAAGTTCTCAGCGTAGAGTGTAACCGTTTTTAGCGCGTTTTGAAGAGGTACGGTAGGTATTTTGTCCATAAAAATGCTACATTCTAGGAATAATTACTGTTCGTTTGTTATTTATTTGGACTTACAATTATAATGATTTTTGGCTAATGTATGCACACCTGCGTTTTCCTTAGGCTCTGCTGTGATGTTTATTATTCAGAATATGTCGACGAATTCACTGTACGCGAGTTTAAGTGCATGTAGGATATAAAACGGTTTTCCTGTTTTGTCATGTTTATGTACCCGTGCAGTGTAGTTTTAGCCTGGATGCGTGCATTACGTATAATACTGTGGGCCTACGAATGATGAGTACATTCTTATTCTACTGGCTTGATGAGCTTAATTGTCGAACCAATGTGTAGGCTCGTATTTTTTAGTCGTAACAATTAGAAATTTGCAAAAACATACAGTACCATTTCTTGTAGAAAGCCGACTTATAATTGTGGTTTGTGCAGTAGTCATGGCCAGGCCATAGAAATATCACCGCACCATATGGCACCAATACAAATACAAATGATAACAACATCCAAAAGAGGAGCTCGTTTTTCTCATACTTTCAAAATTATGTATGTAGACAATCACAAGAATATAAGTAATATTATTTTACTTGATGTGTGACTCAAAAATCGATCAAAATGAGCCCTTCAAATTCCCTTTGAACCCCTCCCCCCCCCCAGAATTTATGGGCTGTTTCTGCCCAGCCCGTGTTCCCATTGACCCCCTCAGGCATATATGCATATATATATATATATATATA